ACTCACAGAATCAACCGGAGCTGGGGAATGTTGCATAAGACAAGATCTCGGAACGTCTCCTTTCCTCCATTGCGCAAATGCGGGTTGAGACGGTGAAAAGCCGCGATACATATGTGTGAAGCGGCAAGCCCTCGATCTGAATTTTAGCCTCTATTCGCGGTACCCATATCTCTGCACCTGCATCACCCGTTCTTCAAATTTCTATTCGCTTCTCCATAATTTGGTTTGGTCAAAATTTTGAGCTTTTTCATATGTTAAAATTGCCGATCTTATGAAAAACATAATGATTAGATTATGTTTGCGCATTTGTTGTGGGATATCGTGCAACGATGGTCGTTATGGACACCATAAGTCACCGCCAGTGGGTCATTGAACCTGGCCACTGCCGATCGATATAATATAGAGTAAATAGCCAAGACGCCTACACGGACCACAATAAAATACGAATAAAATCTAATTGACGGCCTTTGAATTTGCAATGATATTGAAAAATGATAAAAGTGCGAAGAAAATTTTCGTGAAAAACATCCATCAGATATGAAATAAATAGGATAATAGACTCAGTGAGGATCTCGCTGAGTGATTAACCTGCGAAGATGGCATTTTTCTCGTGAAGATGTTGGAGTGGTGCTGTCTTGCATAACACATATGTCCCTGAGAAGCCTCAGTTCAGGCCGGTCGGATTCCTCCTACGATCGACTAATATACATACAAGATCTTTTTTCTCCTTTTCTCCTCGCCCTCAGTCTCAAGGATATCGAGCTTACCTGTGCTTTCTACCCCTGCCCTTTCCCCGTTATTAACTACATCAGAATTAAGGGGTCAATAAGCAAACTTAACAAAAGCCAGTGATGATTCTTCCAACACGGAAAATCATGAGTGCGTGCAAGGTGAAACGTTTGATTGTCACGCTTGAGATTCTCTCGGGACCCACATTTATATTTTTTATTTTCCGTGGAAAAGTATCTTAAAAACCGTACACTTGAGACGAGCAATCTCGCTTTCCCAGCTATTAATTCATAAGTGTAATTACAGTCCATTTTCTCATTCTTGTTCAATTAAAATAATTTGTGACAACATCCCATATTAATTGCCATTAAATGATTAAGGACGATTGAGAGCCACTCATTTTCTCATTTTTGAAAGAAGAAGAAAATCAAAAATTGCTGGCAAATGGAAATCTGAATTTGTACTCTTGAATTTGTAATCCAAGTTAAAAGGAAAATAATAAAAAGCTAGCGTGTCGGTGATGTTTAAAGGATTTTTAATTCTCCCCGTAGAACCTCCAGTGAAATTCACCCGCAACTAAAAGTCAAAGCAGTCATATCAAAGTCATATCAGTTGATAAAAGTCGGGGAAAACTTGCAGTTTGCGTTAGATTATAGCAAGCTTTCCGTGTTGTAACAACGCACTCGATTTCATTCAAATCGAAATGGAAAATTTAGCATTATCAAAACGCGAATTATCAAAACACGAAGTGCTGGGGGGCGCATTATTTTAGTCGATTTTAAGAAAATTGGCATGCATGAGGGGCTTTTAGTCAATTTAATCAATTGAGTTATGAGTAACTATCGAAACATCAGTTATCATTCTCATAAAACATGGGCAAATGCATTTGAAAAGGGCGATTTCATCAACTAAAGCGGCCGGGGCTGTGCTAGTGTTATAATAAAAACCAAGCTCAAGAGGAAGAGAGGGGCCCTTTCCACTTGGACGAGCACAAGCAAGTGATTCTCAACATCAATTTGCTCCTTTATATTTACTATTAATGGGATGGAGATTAAAAATCCAGGAACCAACGAGGTTGAGAACAGCCAGAACGTAACCGAGTGGTCCGGCTAGCTGGTAGCACACCTTCAAGGTCGTATACTGCTCGGCATTAACTGATACTTGCATCTTTTTAAACCGCCTTAACAACCTCGGGTTAATGGAATCGAAGAAAGCGATATCGTTCAATCTTGGCCATGTCCTTCGACAGTGGTTAGATACTTGGGTTCCCCGGGGCATTTTCAAGAATTGGGTCGTGGTCAGCCGAAACAGGGAACTCCCAAAGAGTCTAGCAAGAAAAAGAATGTCGGAGTCGGTTTGTTGCAGAAGATGATAAATAATAACGTTGATTTATGTAGAGGGCAATGAGGAGTTGACGAAACTAATAAAGCTATTTTTCCGTGAGTTTGATTTTTTTTTCAAAGACTGATGGGAAATAGACAGTTGATTGAGTGAGCATAAATGCTCCCCCCGCCTGATCTATTTCTCTAAGAACATCTCCACAGCTATTTTCGATGTAAAATCCCTTAGCCTCTTTGCGCCGGAGCCAAGATAAATTCCATTCTCACAAGTAAAGAGTGCATACGAGTCGACAGGGTAGGCGATCCGGAATGCCAAAAGAGGGAGTCAGTGAGAAGCAAAAAAGCCACGTAGAAAAATACTCGAGGGCTGGGTGGTAGTCGTTTACACAAAGCTCTAAACACAAACAAATCCATGAGAAAGGATTAAACCCAACAAATGGAATGTTTCAAGGCTTCCTCTATTGTTGAATAATACACGTGTGACTATAAATATTCTCCGGGATTACTCGCGCAATGTTACACAATTTGGAGAAATCGTCAATCGTCAATTAACCAGCTGATCATCTCCCTTCAATTCCTACCTCATTAAATAAACAATACAATTTCCCTACTAGTTTCACTTCTTACACAATAATGATAATTATTGAATTATCCAACATTGAAGTGTAGTTTGAATTAAAAACACCATCATGTCGAAGATTTCACTCGTCTCTCAAAAACGATGAAATCGAAAATAAAAGAAAAAATAACAACAACTGAGATGAGGAGAATTTCATCAACGATAATTATAAACATAGTGCGTTGCCTAAAACTTGCACTTAATGAAATCACTTGTGAATTTCTCGATCACCTTTTTTCTTAGCAAAACCCACTAATAACGCACGAATATAAACACAACAGTCTAATTGATGTTTAGCAGCTAGACGTTTGAATCGGAAGACGTGGAAAAAATGTAAAAATAAAAAATGAGGAAATATGTCGGCTAATATTGTTGACTAGAAGAGAAATGTGGTTTGTCTTGAAAATAAAAATATTGTCGATTGGATTTGATGCGATCCAACAGGTGGCTGTTGCCGAGTAGAGGAGGCAGAGGAGCGGACCCCATTCACCCGACGGACGAGGCTGATGACCCGAGCAAAACACTCACTAAAAACCACACGCTTCTCCAACTGGTTCCCTTTATTTTTCCGTCAATGAGATTTAACGAGAAAAAGTCACATAATTATCTACTCACTTTGTAACGACCTTGGGACATACCTTGGCGAGGTTGCTGTATCGGTCAAGATTATCCTTCCAGTGGAAATTCAAGAGATGATTGTACGATGGTCATGTGCACTATCAAAATCACGTTTCACCACTCTTTTTACACTATTTACACACTCAATTTTATACTTCCCCGGCTTGATGGGAGTCCACACACTCGCGAGCTGCAATAAACATTTCAAGGCCTTTCGCGGTTTTAACAAATGAAAAACGGGTTTGGTTGGTCGTTGAAAGAAAAACAAAGGGATAACCAGCATACGGTGTAATCCACGGTAACGCGGCCCACTCAACTTGATCAGTGAATACTTACTGGCGCTACGGCTAGCCCGCTAGCTGCTCTGCGATCGGACCACCCAGCACCATCAGCGCCACCAGCGGCATCAACGCCACCAACGTCCCCCATCGGCATCTCACATTGCGCGCGCCTTTCTCACACACTCATACCCAAAGAGGATTGACTATAGTATAGAAGCTCAGTTCTGGGGGTTTGAATGACCCCACCGGCATCGTAATGCATTATTTTCGCGCTAAGACGCATAGAAAATTAGATAATTGCAATTTTTTAATGATTCAGAAAGTCGAGTTGAGTTCAGTTTCGATTCACTGGAATTGAAAAATTCGAAAGTTTCAAAAATATATTAGGGGAGCATAAAAATCGAGAAGGTATTCACTGAAATTTGAAAATTCAAAATTTTTGAAAAAATATCAGGGGAGCATGAAAATCGAGGAGGTATTCACTAAAATTGAAAAATTCACTTGGAATGGGGTACTACAATACCGGTGGGATCACTCAAACCTCCCAGAATTGAACCTCTACTTTAGTCAATCCTCTTTGATGAATTGCTCATCACATCTGTCCCAGCCAAGTATTTTTTTTTTCAATAAAATTCAACAATTATTATAACCAAAAAATTGGAATATTTTTTCACGTATGTAATAATGGTGTTTATAAAATACTGTTAGTTGGTATAAAAAATAGCTACGTCATGCATCCATCGTTGAATGATTTCTCGATTGACGAATTCTGTTTGTACTTCATTTAGGACAAAATTCAAATAAGTATGCAACAATCTTGGGCTCAAGGTCAAGTCGGGAATGATAAACTATTAGCTTTTCTTTTATTTATTCATTCAATTTTATTTTAAACAATATGTTCATTTGGAGGACAATCGAATGCCCCGGGAAATGAATAGCATATAGTAAATACGATTTTGTTTGTTCTTTGTTTTTACAATTATCATACACACAATAATTATAAGGTAATCCCTTCACTCGTTTTGCTTCATTTTCAATAATCAAAATTGCAAGTCTAAGTTGGCAAACTTAAAACAATAAACGACAAAGAAGGAACATTGAAATAATAAAATCTTATGATGAACGAAAAAGACAAAAAATATGTATAAAGAACCAAATAATTATTTATAGAGTACACGTTTAGAGTGAACCATCCCCATAACCGTATTTAACGATTTTTCTAACTTTTAATTGCATTTACAAACATTTTCTTTTTATCATTATTTTTTTTCATTATAAAGGCTCTCTCCATCCCTCTCAATGCACTTTTTAGCTGAGATTACTATAAAATAGGTAAAAAAGCCCCTTTTTTCCCTTGTTTCTTGACATTTCTTCAACTTCACAAAATATCTCGCGAAATATCTTACATGTATATTGTCACGGTTGTTACATTTTTTTTTTTTGTTTAAAAACTTTATCTATTTTAATTTGTCATTGAGGCAAGCTGCACAGTTTTTTTTTCCCCAAGCAATTCTCATTTAAAACGCAACACACTTATTTCACTGTTGTAAAAATAAATGTGCCATTTGTTAGTTTGTTTAACTTCATATTGAATAATCAATGAGTTGCTTCAGCCGATTAGAAAAGAAATGCCAACTTGTATAAATCATAAATTAATTAATCAAGGAAATTATAATTCCATTAGAAGACAAGCAGAATCGTTGTACACAGTATTAAATCAACTAAAGTAACATCCATTTAACTATTATTATACATAAAAATTCGAGTGATAATTTCATGTACAATTTCATCTTAATTGAAATATCATTTGATTTGTTGTTGGATAAAAATTGAAAACAATCAGTCATGCCCAACGATTTCGCTCGTCCCTCATCGATCATCTCTCCATCAAGAAATGGAAACAATATTTTATGCAACAATTGAAATAATTCCAATAACAAATTTATTGTTTTACTGCGTCATAGAGGTGGCTCAGCCGTTGAACTCGTGATCCAGCCTTCACACCAATAAATATAATAATTATTATGAATAACTAATGATAATAAAATAAATAAAAAGCGAGTAGTTAAGTGGGTTTTTTTTTCGATTCTTCTTCATTTGTCTCAATGAGTGAGTTTGGTCATTCCTTGGTGCGGTGGTTGCCCTTCACTCCCCTACCTCTCTTATTCTCTCAATCCTTCATTCATCACCTGTACGTTCTCACATTCATCAATTTTTCATTTGTGTTGCAACTGAATTCACATTTAATTCCTTACTTGCCAAAAAACAATTCACCATTTAACCTCTAATTAATGTGTTGTGTGCTAATTTTGTCCGTATGGCCGATCAATAATTTACTCATTCATTGAATTAAAACAATTGCGTGCAATTAATGTGATGACTTGTTTCTATGAAGCCCAGAAATGGAGAAAATAATATGAAGACTAATAGAATTCCTGCTCAAGGGGGAAGAAAATCGTATTAATTCAGTATTGAGCACCAATTGACGAGAATTAACGAAAAGGCCAATTGATTCATCAGCTATGTGATAAAGTGACATTGGTCGTATTTACTATTTTGCCTTAATTATATCAATGGATATTTAACAAAAGTGGAAAGTTCGACTTATCTCGCTTTATGACTTTGCTAGTGAATTTGATCAATGGAAATTGGATAGACTCGTTTACGACAGTAGAGACGAAAGAATAGCTGATTCAACTATTAGTCAACTTTTTGGAACGAACGTAAGGAGAGAAACGATTTTAGTCCCAGTGACACATTTATCGGAAATAGACATGTATGTATAGTAGTTCGGTACGAATATAATAAAATAATATAGCAATCATACGAATAGTAATGTAATATAATATGATAATAATGTAAGGTTCCCTTTCTCTTTCATCTGTACATATATTCTATGTATAAATATATTACATTTATGATGTAATGGGTAAAGGCTCCAAGAGAACATAGTCATTCAACAAAATAAACAGCAGTCATTTGATTAAGGAAATTTATCGACTCACTCCGATCAAAATCCTCTCTTTTGTAGTTCCTGCTGCTTATTTATCAAATATTAAATACAAATTTATTAAACTTTTCATTAATTTCCTCTGTTCTCTCAACCACGATCGGAATTTGTCGTTTAATAATATGAATAACATCGCAACCCACATGAAATTTATATTTTATATGTTTAATCACTTCTAGTGATGATCTTCGTGATATGGAAGTGACTCGAGTGGTACGAGGGCCTGATATATCCTCTAATAATTTGATAAGTCCTTTATGATTTAAAATACTTTTCTAAAATATGGAGAATTTGTTAATTTTGTTTCATGGATTGGTTTCTCATTATATTCGACATTGTTCCACAGTTGCAATAGAAAATTGTGCCCCGTGAACCATTGGACCACATGGAGAACGTTTAGGGCCAGTGGAGCCCACTCTCGAGTCATTGCCGCATACGAAAAAATTATCTTCAGTTTAATTGCTGATCTTACCGTGCCACTAATTATTGAAAATCACATCTGCAGCCACAACTTTCACGTCATCCTAGTTGGCAACTTTCTAAAAAAAAAATAAAAATAAAAAAAAAACCAATTCCTAGAGATTTTCACGAAAAAATTTTGATACATCGTTGAGACAATGAGCGAAAACAAGCAAGGAAGGAAGTAATCGATATTTTTTCCTCGTGGCTGAGAGAAATTACAAAATAAATCTCGAAAAAAAAAGGGAGAAAAAAATAGCATTCGGTGGACTGGTTTTATGATTCTGCGCCAGATAACAATCTGGTATAATTTTAAAACGTTTTTTCATCTCTTAATTGATTTATTTCTTTCATTTCGGTAAGACATATGGTAGCAAAAATTTGGGGCGGACAAGAGACTCTTTTAATTGCAAGTTAATGACAATTTTCGGAGAACTCTTCCCTCAAGGCGGCGGCACTCACAATACCTATTTACAAAAATATACACATGAGCAACTTACTTCTTACTTGTTTTCATTTTCAATTATTTACCATTACTCCCCTCGCATTAATGTTCCATCATTTTACTAAAACCTCTAGTTTCCCCAATATGAACTAGATAATGTAAAGAATATGTATTGATTTTTTTTTTTCATTTTTTATTTTGTATTTTTGATAATTTAATAATTAAATTATTCTCATTACTGATTTGTTTAATCTTATCTACAAAAATTGTTCCATCCGCGGTTTTTCGTATTTTAATGTACAGTCGGTAGGCATTGCGCGGTAAATTGAATGATCCCTCAATGATTTCCTCCCCTCCCCCTGCCACGCACGCAAATAACCCCGAGGGCAAGAGCACTCATATACAGATTAATATTTTTAATTCATTCAATTTTACGTTTAATATTAGATCTATCGGATTTCTTTTTAATATATAATTCGCCTACATATAAATAAACTATGTGATGCTGCTCAGCGCGTATAATTGATATCAGGTACACTGAGAGAAAAAAATGCTATTCACAGAGCAAATTACTTCATAAAAGAAAACATTCTCTAGTCAATGTTGAGAAGTCGTCACAGTCCCTGACAAATGATTTTTTTTCTCGCACCTATAATCAAAGGCCAAAAAAAAGAAAGAAAATGTGTATCTAATTTGAAAATTTGTGAGACACAAGTGTTTTATCAGATCTGACGATTTTTTTTTTTATTGAGAATAGAATACCCTCTTCTATGAGATAAATATTGTTTGTGAAAAATATTTTGTTGTTTCCGTGAACTCTTTATCAACAGCACCACTGGTTTATTATTTGTGTATCTACGCACATTTTTTTTTTTACAAAAGCAGAACATGTGATTTTGGGTGTTTGGAGTGGGTAGGGAAAGAATATCGAGGCCTACCGATCAATCATGTCGAATTATGATAACTTGATAACGTTGCAGTCTCATGCACTTTTTATTTCATTAAAAATTTTTGAGTAACACGAAGTAACGTGCTCTCGATTATTTCTTCAGTGGAATACCAGCCTGGCATTGAATAAATCCTTTAGGATTAACTCAAGTTATTTTTGCCCATTTTCAAATGTTGAATTTGATGAATATGTGCCGGCTTTGTTGGCGTCCCTACCACCCAATAAAATCTCGGTGAATGAATTATTGGCCTTGCAACGAGTTGATAGACGTGACGATGGCTACGTGTACATTGTGGGATAGGTTGTCATGTTGTGAGGGAGCGCCGTTATGTAGTTGGGAGTGGGCGGCCTGGGACTGTGCCACTGGGGTCAGAGGGCTCGTAATTTCTTTATTCCAGCTTGTACGTAACGCACCAGATCTCGCAGTGAGCTCTTGAGAGTTAGAGGACCCAATTTCTCGTCCAATTCGACAAAAAATTCTGCAAACAATGAGAATATTCGGGGCTTAATGAATTTTCATGATTAGGCAAAAAGAGTATTGGCGATAATTTTCAACTTAATATTCAAATAGATATAGAATTGTAGGCTGTACTCACCTCGATGCTTATCAGTGACAAGAGCATTAGCCTGATCCCAGAGATCGTGACAACTCATGAGTAATGAAAACTGATGTGTCAATTTCTGCATGGCCGAATGAACATTTAAGGGAACACTGACGTACATTGCTGCTGGTGGTTGTCCAGTAGCAGCGCCACGATTTGCTAATTCACCACTGCTGTAACCCGAGCTCTGACTACCAACTGAACCAACTGAGCCTGCTGGTGATGGGGTGGGCGAGAGTGAGGGGGTGCCCTGACCCTCAGGCTGTACAACAGTTGGTTGTGTTGGCTGTGAAACACCAAATGAAATGCGCACTTGTTAAATATCAAAATCCACATCGTGAAACCGATGGTGGGGCGGAAATCTCCCACCCACGTCAATACATTTTCATGAAATTAATGAGCAGCTCACCTTTTGATGATAATCACCAACGATCTTCTGAATCTCTTTGGTTTCGTTTTTTCTCATTTTGAAGAGTTTCAAGTAAATAAGGGACTGGCACCATAAACTGGGGAAAGCAGACAAATAATTAATTATTATGTTTCAACTACTGGAGAGAGGCTGTTCACCCCTCTTAATCCTCCTAGCTCCTGGCTTACCTCAAGATAGCCAACTTGTTGTGAATACTACTCTCGGGTGAATTGTTCTGTTGACTCTTGAATTTCGAAGAGATGTACCTGAATTGTTAAAGAAGCAATGTTGAAAAAAAATCTATATGTTGGGGAGTGCATTCATTAGGGGGGTATAAATGTTGAGAGAGACTCACTTGATGAGGCTGAGTGTGTCCTTATACATGGTGAAGGAGGCCCTGTCGGTTACGGGATCAGACTCCATTGCATGGCCCGTTAAAAGGAAGTACAGAACTGCCTCCAAGTACAACATGCCCTGGGCTGTTAATTCGCACTCTTGGTCTGCACTGTGCTTTAACCTCTTTGCTTCTGTCAGGTACTGATTTTGGTCCCTGACAATTTATTTATTTATTTTTTTTTATTTAAAACATTTTTTCGCTCTCTTAACATTTTATTATCATATTTTCAATGAACACTTGATTTCGTGGCTCAAGTTGTTTTTCCATTTGGAAGACTCAAGCATGAAGCTTGATAGAAGTTCCAATTAACTTTCTAACGGTAGAAACATTTTTATCGTGTACTCACCGAACCTGGTCCTCTTGAACTTCATTGAGAGGATTGAAGTAGGAGAAGAATACCCTCTGGGGTGGCGCTGCCGGTGGTGGCAGCAGATGAACATCAGGCTTGTCTTCCCGCTCGTGATTAGTTGGTTGTGCATCATTCTGGTTTAAACATAATTGAGGAATTTAGCAACAACCACAACTTTGCCCTTACATCCAGTAAGATTGGACGATGTTGGAGGAAAGTTTGAGTTTGCGATAAGACTTTATTATCTCTGCGCAAAGTTTGAGGGTAACTATTGTTCAACGCACAACTTCTCTTTGAATTAATAAAAATTACACGTACAATATGATAATCATTCAATAATGTCTTCATGTATTTATCAAATGGGAGAATATTTAAAAATGCAAAAGGCTATATTTTATATATTGGGCTGAGTCAATAATAAAATTATTGGCTTATTACCTGTCGTGGAGGTGGCCTCTTGATGGCCCCATCCTTGTCTCCATGTTTCTTTTTCCGTTTCTTCTTCTCCTTGTGCTCTCCCTTAACTTTTGACTCAACCGAACAAACACTAACACTGGAACTACAACTTGGATTACGTTTTCGTTTGGGTGCATTACCATTAAATCCACTAGCACCACTGGTACCACTTGCATTGCCACTACCACCTCCACTGCCGCTGCCACTGGCATTTCCACTGCCAATGCCACTGCCACTGCCACTACCACTGCCACTGCCACTGCCACTGCCAATGCCACTGCCAATGCCACTGCCACTGCCAATGCTACTGCCACTGCCACTTGGGCCGGCTCTATTTTTATCATTATCACTTTTAGCAGTACGTTTAACTTTATCATCAATCTCATTATCACCGTGAGTCCTGTAGTCAGTTGGAGACACTGTATCGATGATTTCTCCCTCCTCAGGTGTCGATGGACGTTCATTTTTACCACTAGATTGTCTCGATATTGGCCTGGTATCAGACAGCTCAGTTCTCTCTCTAATTTCCTGACCCCTCGACGCCTGCGGTATGTGAGGAATCCTAGTCAAGTCGATTTTGCACATTAAGCTCGGAATGCCATTGCTATAAGTGAGGCATGGAAAATTTGTTGGTGCGGAAGCTTGTGACGAAGGCCTCTTGTACGGGCTTTCACTGCCCGTTGGTGTGTTTGCCGAGCCTGTGTACTCTTCAACGTAAATACCACACTTGCCACCCCCCTTTCCACCTTTTCCACCCTTACCACCGCCCTTGGCTCCACCTTTCGCTGTGGAGAAGAGCTTCCTTAGCGTGTCGCTCTTCTTTTTGTCCTGGACGTTACCACCGTCTTCCTCCTGGAGTTTTGGTGCTGAGCTGTTGTCACTGTCCGAATTATCGAGGGATGTGGCTCTTGTCGGGGGAACTCGAGGTCTTGGTGGCACCCTCGCTATCTGCCTGTTGTTCCTGTGGGCTGTTTCAGACTCACTGTCTGAATCACTGGCACAGCCAGAGGTGTTTGTCACCCGCGATCGTGGTCGTCTCGGCTTAGCCTTTGTTGGACTCTTCTTCTTCTCTTGTTTCTTTGGTGAGTCCATCAACTTGGAACGCTTGGTAGGAATTCGTCTCCAGTCGGACTCGTCTTCAGAGGCACTGTGCTTTCTCGTTGATTTCTCGTCTTCACTCGAAGACAGACTCAGCCGGGATTTACGCTTCTCCGGTATCGAGGCTGGACGTTCAATTCGACGTTCACATTCCGAATCACTCGATCTGAGATCGCTGGCCTCGTCATCACTACTGTGAACAGTGGCTTTGGCCACTGGTTTCTTCTTAGGGCTGCTGACGCTGCGCTGCCTGTTACGCTTTGAGGTGGTCTTGGCCTCTTCAGATAGCGCTCTGTGGCTCTTGGGACTCTTGACGGACTCCTTAACTGACTTTCTTGGTCTACCACGCTTCCGTACATCGGGGGGTTTGGGTTTGTCAGGTAGGACGACTCGTGGCTCTTCATCCTCTACTTTTTTCTTATCCGTGTCAGAAGTATGATCGCTGTCACTGAGAGCAGCTAGTGTAGAGCTTCTCGTTTTTTTAATGGTTTCGTCCATCTGCCAATTGTTGCCATGAGCCTGAACTTCTTCGGGGGAGCTATCACGCCTGGTGGCATCCTGGGAGAGTTTGTTCTCGATTCGATCGGACTGGACAGCCTTGGGGGGATACATAAAGCTGCTGAGATTCCAACGAGGTTTGGACTCCTCAACTGGGGGCTCGTCGAGTGAAGCTCTAGGTGATGTTGGTGGAGGTGTACTAGGGCCTTTGGCTTGTGCCTGTCCCCCTGCACTCTCGTCCTCCGAGTCATCACTACTATCTGTTCCCGATTCTGAGCCAGTATCTGAGCTCGATGAGGCTGAGCCAGAGCTCTGGGGTGCCTGACCTATGGGACTCGGGGGTCGAAGGATCCCTGGACTCGAGTGTTTTCGAGGGGACGAGACTATAGGCGAGAGCAGACGCTCCGGTGATAATTGCTTAGGGGGTGTTGCACGCGGGGGCGACAGTGGACGAGGGGGCGACAGAGGACCCAGAGGAGACATTTCCATTGGGGATGGTGGAGCCAACGGCAGAGGCGCTGGTGGCATCAGTGGGGGAAGTAATGCTGACGACAAACTGAAAGTCGATTAATTTTATTAATGTTACTCAAGGATATGATCTCCTAATTAACTATTTTAACCCTGTAGCAAACTTACTCGATAGTTGGGCCTGGAGATCTGGACCTTTGCAACCTTGATGGCGTGCCCTGCTGTGATAAATTAAACACGCTCATTATCTCATTGAGGACAATTTTTTAACAACATGTGTAAATATGTGTAAACATGTGATTGTTGGAGTTTCAACAGATAAAATAATTGAATTGAAAAAAAAAATGAGAATTCTCACCTTGAGGCCATCATCATCGCTGTCCTCGGAGAGGCTCAGGTCACGTGCCAGATCACTAGAATTAGGAAAATAACAATGATTAGTTGTTCAATTAGAGGGGGTGAGTATCAATTACGGGGTAAACACGGTCAATATGATCATCGATGGTGCAACGGAGCGCAAGTTAATTTATGAGAAAAAAAAAAAAAGAGGAGTAATAATTTGTGAGAGAGCTGGAGAGTACTCAGTGGCATCGCGAGTCCGGAGTTAAAACGTATATACCCTGGGAAGAAGCGTAAGTGTGGGTACAATATATGTAGAAGGCAAAGAGAGGACAGCGGACATCGACCCCGGGTATGTGCCTCAGTGTGTTCCTGTCCTACCCCCGTCTACTACCCAACCGTCCGAACATTCGCTACCTCACTCCACACTAATGCATTCTCTTTCTCTTTTCTCTTTCCTCTACACCTCGTACCACGAGGTTTACCCGTTTTGTGGGCTCGTTCACTTGTCACTGCGGCAAATCACAAATGTCGAGGATCTGTAACTGTGCAAATTCTTCTCATCAACTATACTATACTGCACTACTATATTACACCAATAGTATCAGATTTTTTCCTTTTCAACTTCAACTTCAACTTCATTCAATCGATCAATTTTTTTTTCATCTTTCAATGCCAATCCACTCATACTAATACCAGAAAATTGAAAATTTTCTTTGCAAATGATTTGTTTCTTTCCCACTATTATGTACTTGAATTAATTAGCAAATTTTTTATTTTCTCGTAAAAATATTGGTAAGGTTGCAGTATTGTGCAATATGGTAATAACCAAAAATAAGCCTGAAAGTTTCATTTATGAACCGAGGAGTATTCGCATTCTCATTATAAAAACATATTATTTTTACGTCCCCAGTATTGCCAGTGTTGGCAGCGCCAAGTGATAACTCGTTGGTTTTACGAGCCTTCCATTTTCAAGATAAGGATCCCAACTGCAGCATTCAAAGTAAACGAAGAGGGGAGTAAATGCTAGAGTGAAAGAGACCGAGTGAGTAAAAAGGGAGAAAGAGAAATTGAGCTTGAGGATTTAAAAGCCCAGAGATCTGGTGAGCTAATCGCAACATTCATCGACTCTGTCGACAGAGTGCTCTTCACATTTCTCACCCCAGTCCCCGTTGATCATTTCTCAAATCAGGTGTCTTTCGGTATTTACTCTAGAATTATCCATCAGACTACAATAAACGGTGGAAAAGCACCTTCTCCATCAGCCTCTAATATATCAAATTACAATATTTTATAATGCACTGCTAATATATTATTAGCGGTGTTTAGTATCGTTTGTGTTTTATGAACATGAAAACTGGCTCCCTATTTGACGATTTACTCGGTAAATCGTGTATATGCTATATGACGGAGTTAACAGGATTCAGGTACATGTGGAAGTTGGGGACGCGCGTGTAACGAGCTTTTGCTTCCGGCAAACCTTCTTGCTGGTTTGCTTGCCATCTTCATTATTTTTACGAGTCTTTTATAATTTTTTATAAGTGTCCAAGTAAAAAATAATGTATGAATTTGTAATTGAAATGGATCAAGGTAAAGAGGTCATAATTCAAGGAATTTACTCCACTGCTGGCAATTATTGAATGTGGCGCATTATTGAAAATTCTTTTTTAAGAAAATATAATTCGGCTACAAGTATTGAGTTGAGCGTGAATTCAATGGGAATTGATAGAGTCAAGGGTTAAAGGAATAGAATAGATTTTTGGTAGCGCAAGAAGAGAAGCCTGGGTCGACGACCCGTTCTCCCCGTTGCGCCGACTGGCGTCGATGACATTCACCGTCGGTGGTAGCAACAGAGAAACTCTTTTAACCCCCTCCATCTCATGTTTTTTATTTTGCCTTCCCATTTCACCAGTGCAGGCTGAAACCTTCGCAATCGATACACTCGAGTGTTTCATCCCCTGTTCTGCCTTTTTCAACCATTCCCTCATTTCCCTCAACTATCCTCTCAGCACCATCACTAGCACAGCGTACCCTCACCCTCGCCCCCGTTAATATCTTCTATCTATCGTGTTTCAACATTGCTGTGGCAAGATGCGCAAATTCACTTTAATCATCAATATTTCGGAGAAGAATAGCGCCATTTGGGTGAAACAGAAGGAGAAAACTCTTTTCCACAATGAACACGGATTATTATTTTATTTATTTTTTTGTTCATATGAAGTTTAAAAAACGGGCAAAACCCCAACAGAACAATAATGAATAATCGCACTCAAAACGCATATGTTCTTCAATTATCCCCAATCGCAGCGATAACAATACTAATAGATTCAAGGAATTGTTGAGTCGTTTAAGCGTCCGTAACTCCTCACGAGGTTATTAACAAGTGAATTCCAGGGGAGAGCTCAAACAACTTGTGAATAACTCGGCAACTTCCAAGTGTTCATACTAGTTTTCCAGCTCGACTACCCCTTGTCCCCTCCTCTACAGCATCATCGTGCTCATCGGTCTCTCTCTGCTCTTCCCTTTTGTTTCCCCCACAGCTCCTACGATTTTTACCCCCCTTCCCCCCACC